TCTGATCTGTGGGACCAATTGGCTCTTACTGAATCTAAAGAGTTAAAAGATTTTGAGCCTTACATTGCTAGGAGGGAAGAATAATGCTTGGTCCAGTTCTTGATGGCCTTGCATTCTGATTTTGAAGGCCTACATGGAACCATTCTTCATCGCTCTCCTCTTCCCTCAGTGGATTCTGTTGTCCATGAGTTAATTGCAGAAGAGACTCGTATCAAGTCTCATGCGGATAAAGGGTTTAAAGCAACCTCTATTCCTACTCCTGCTGCTACTGTGCTTGCTGTTTCCTCCAACCAGTCTCGACAAACGTCAAGGGTTGTTTATGATGAGTGTGCATTCGGCAAACAGAAAAATCATTGGAAAGCTTAGTGTCCATTGTTAGTCAACAAGGGTAAATCTGGTCAACCTCAGTCAGGGCAACAAAATAGGTCTGGTCAACAGAAGTTTCAGCCGCATTCCTCTGGTACTCCTCCATGGACCACTCATCCTCCACAATTTGATGTTGCTGCTGTACCACCAGTTGACACAGAATCCGTTGGACACATGCCACCATCTGCATTGGATCCCAAGGTGTTTGAGAGCTTCAGACAATATTTGGCTTCTAATCTCACTGCCATGTTTGCATCTATGTCTCATTCTGGTCCTTCTTCATCTGGTACATCAGGTATTCCCTCATCTTTGTGGATTTTAGATTTTGGTGCAACCCATCATATGAATCCTCATTTGTCATCATTTACTTCTTTGTCGCAAGTGTCATCTATTTCTGTTAAGTCTGCTAGTGACACATCTATGGTAGTTGAGGGTGTTGGGTATGTCTCTGTTTCTCATATCACTCTTCCTGATGTTTATCACATTCCTAAACTTACTTTGAATCTCGCCTCAGTCAATCAGTTATGTAAGTCTGGTAACTGGGTGTTCTTTTCTGATTCTGTCCGTGTTATACATGATCAATACACCCATAAGGTGATTGGGATCGGCCGTAGGGTGGGGGAACTATATGTCTTGGAGGTCCTCAAAGTATCTGTTGTTGCTGCTTCCTGCATTGATTTATCTTCTTTTCGTTTGAGTCTTTTGTATTCTGAATTTTATCTTTGACATTCTCGTTTGGGACATGTGTCTGTATCACGTTTGAATTTTTTTAGCATCTAGTGGTGTTTTGGGTCATTTAAACTCTTGTGATATTTCTGATTGTAGTGGTTGCAAACTGGCAAAATCCTATGCTTTACCCTTCAATAAAAGTATGTCTTGTTCTACTACTCCTTTTGACATTATTAATTCTGATGTATGGGGTCCTGCACGAGTATCCACAAAGGGTGGGTCAACCTATTATGTATCTTTTATATATGATTATACTCGATATACATGGGTTTATCTTATGAACCGCAGATCTAATTTCTTTGATATTTACAACAATTTTAGAGGTCTTGTTAAAACTCAACATTCGACTGTGATTAAGTGCTTCAGGTGTGACTTAGGGGGTGAATATACCTCTAATGATTTCACTCAGTTACTTGCTTCTGATGGTACTATACACCAGTCTTCGTGTACTGACACACCTCAGCAAAATAGTGTGGCAGAACGAAAACATCGTCATATTGTTGAGATTGCCCCCTCATTGCTCCTGTCTGTGCAGGTCCCTAGTTCCTTTTGGGGAGAATCAGTCCTAACTATTGTGTATGTGATTAATCATATCCCTACTTCATTGCATTCAGGAATAGCTCCTTTTGAGAAGTTATATGGTCATCTACCAGACTACTCTTCGTCCTCATGTTGAAAGGAACAAGCTGGGGCCAAAATCTGCTATTTGTGTATTTTTGGGGTATGGTATTGGTCAGAAATGATACCGTTGCTATGATCATGTGAGTCAGAAGTTATATGTTTCCCGACACGTTATTTTTTTGGAACATATTCCTTTCTACTCTATTCCTGCTACAACCCACAATGTAACGAAGTCCGATCTTCTGCGTATTGATCCTTTTAATGAAGATATAGAGGCTCGAGATTCATCTATGCCACATGATCCCTCAGCTCAAGACACACCCACTTCTTCATAGGGTGCCTCGACTCCACCTGTTCCTGAGCCTGATCCTCCGATTATTGAAGTTGAGGATTCACCTCCACCACCACCCCTCAGGAGATCTTCTCATCCTGTCAAGTCCACCAAGCTACCATATTTTTCTTACTCTACATATTAAGGACCGTTTGCTTCTTTTATAGCAAGTATCCATCATCTGTCTGAACCTGAATCATATAGAGAAGCTGTTACAGATCCTCTTTGGCAGAATGCTATGGCTGAAGAACTCACTGCTCTCCATCAGACTCATACATGGGATTTGGTTTCTCTTCCTCCTGGGAAAAATACGATAGGTTGTCGTTGGGTGTACAAGATAAAAACAAAAGCTGATGGTTCTGTTGAACGATACAAGGCTATACTTGTAGCAAAAGGGTATTCCCAACAGTATGGATTTGACTACGAGGAGACATTTGCCCCTGTTGCAAAGATGACGACAGTTTGTACTATGATTGTAGTTGCATCCATCCGACAGTGGAAGATCTTTCAAATGGATGTCAAGAATGCCCTTTTGAATGGTGACCTTCATTAAGAGGTTTATATGACCCCTCCTCTAGGAATTCAGCACCAACCGGGTGAGGTTTGTCGGCTTCGCAAAGCTTTGTATGGGCTCAAGCAAGCCCATCGTGCTTGGTTTGATAAATTCTCCACAATGATTACCTCTCTTGGATTTGTCTAGAGTAATCACGATTCTGCTCTGTTTGTTAGATGCTCGAGTGCAGGACGGATTCTTCTGTCCTTATATGTGGATGGCATGATTATTAAGGGTGATGACCATGGTGGTATTGAGTCTTTGAAGCATGATCTAGCTCGTCGATTTGCTATGAAGGATTTCGGCTTGCTGCGTTATTTCTTGGGTATTGAGGTTGCTCAGTCTAAGAAAGGGTACCTTCTTTCCCATACTAAATATATATCTGACTTGTTTTACTACTAGAAAAACAGCCTTTTACGACGCGGAATCAATGACACGCGCTGATAAAGGACACACATTTGTGAGTGCCCTAAAAATTGATGTCATTTTTCCAAAATATGAAGCATAGAGGACATGCATTTTTTGTGTGCCCTAAAATTAGTGTCTAATAAAAAAAACACGGAGGCCACCATAAATAAAATGTGCGTCGTCTAACCATATCGCTTTATAAATTTTAATGAAACACGCGTTTTGTTTCCACCGGCTGAAAACCCTAGCTCATCCCCGCCGAAAACCCCCTTTCTTTCTTTCTTTCTCCTCTCTCGATTCTCAAACCTCCATTCACCTTCCGCCATCTGCTGATTCTTTGATCGTTCCGAGTGTCTCCCACCGCCGTCGACTTCCAATGAAAGACGACCGTTCGACCCTTCCGAGTGTCTCCCACCGCCATCCTCTATTTTTGGTTATATATTTAACACCCTCCGTTGTCAGTTTGGAGTGCATACGATCTCTGTCTCCAAGTTTGTATTTAGCCCTCTTTAGTTTTGATGAGAGCAACGACACCATCGAGAATGTCAAAGAAAAGATCCAGGTTTTTATTTCTCCTTTATTTATACCTCTGATTTCGATTTTGATTCTTCTCGTATTCTCCTCTGTAAAACCGTAACTGGAAAAGCGATACAAATATTAATCGTGATTTCCTCCTCCTTCCTTGATCCCCAATTCTACTCTCTAAGCATCTCAGGTACGCTCTGTTCCATCTCCCTTATTCTCGTTTTTTTTATTGCTTAGGTGAGACATCCATCTCCCCTACTTTTCTGCTTCTTAATCCCGTTATGATAGTTGTTCACAGTCGCACACAGCACCAAACACACATCCACATGTTTACTATTTTGAGCATAAATTTAAGAGTCTTATTTTCCTGACCTAAATTCTGGATTTAATGGGCTCCAATGGAGCTACATTAGTTAATGACTACTACAATATTATACTTCAAATTTTGAGCATAAAAAGTTACCTGATTGTTAACTCTGCCAGCTAGCACTGCATCCAGAACTTGCAAATGAGAATTGTGTCCATATGCTTTTTTGTCTATTCAAAAATAAAATAAAAAAGGGTTTCTTCTTGTATTCAAATTTCTTTCAAAATGATTGTAATTTCTTTCCTTCTTTCATTCTCAGGTCTCCGATGGAGAGAGGTTGCCTTTAGGAGTTAAAGAATTGGGAATATGTGATCTCTAGCCAAGTATGCAAGCAGAAGCAGACAAGCACACAAACGTTGATTTGTCAATTGGGGGATCCTCTGATTGAAACGTGTAAGAGAGTTTCAGAAGTGCTGACCACAATATACTCTCTCTTCTTCACTCTCTGCTCCACTGTTGACTCTCTTCTCGCACTGAACGCACACTGATTGTTAGTTTCATACAAACAAATCACCTGATTCTCGTGAATGTACTTAATCGAAACACAGAGAGTGAACAGTATGAAGTCTTTGATTATTGTATGAAAGCAGGTATTTCATTTGAGATTTTTACTGTATTTAATGGTTTATCAATCTGTTGGCTCTGAAATTATTTATGAATTCGTTAATGTCTTCATATGGGTTTTTGGTAATTTTAATTTCGTTAAATAATTCAGAAATATTGAGTTTTTCTTTTTAACATGTAAAACAAATGTCCCCTTTTTGTTACTTGTCGTGAACAGGGCTGTGATTTAGCTATCTGTGATGTATGTAAATATAACCAGTAAGATACATTTTCAATATTATATTATATGAAATGACATATATTAGGTTGAAATTGCTTTCTCTAATTAGTATTTAGAACATACTTCCTTTGCTTTTTTCATGTGTTCTTGAATTAGGAGCTTAGAAGAATGGTGACAGCAGAAAATGTATGTTTTCACTTTTCTTTAATCTTTATCTTTATCTTCCTTTTCTTTTATCTTATTTTTTTGTGTGTTAGGTGTGCGCTTTTGAAAGCATACTAGCTGGAATGACAGACTGAAACGTCTAGGAATCAGCATGACTCATCCGTCTGGTCTCTCCTCTGCAATGAATCAGCTCCCTGATCAAGCAATTGCTTTAGCTGCTGCTTCCCACATCGAGAAAGAATTACAAATAACTCCCTGGAATTTAAGCAGCAACTTTGTTGCTTGTACAAATCAGGTAAAAAAAACCATTTGGTTCAAGAAAATCTCCAAAATCATACAGTTCATCTGAAGAAACCATATACCATCCCCAACTTTTGAGATTAGAATCACGATTGGAAACAGATGATGCTATAAAAGATACAACAGTTAAAAGCGACACCATTAAACGATTCAACAAACTCCCTTTACGCAATAAAGATGTTCTTGATGGATCTTGGATGGATCGAATAGTGTGGGACCCGAATCAATCTGTTACAAAGCCGAAATTACTTCTTGATCTTCAAGATGAACAGATGCTTTTTGAAATATTGGATAACAAAGATGGAGATGATCTTCAGCTTCATGCTGGAGCCATGATCGCAACTCGGTCTGCTGAGTCATCACCAGATTCATTGGAGCTATTACATGGTTATGGAGGGGGGAGATTTAATATAAGCTAATGACAAATTCTATTCCAACAGGAAATCTTCCCAACAGTTGAAATCACATTCCAAGAAACGCACATCACATGGTGTTAAAGTCTTGCATTCCATACCTGCTCGCTCTCAAGCTACAGACAATGAAATTCAAACTTAGCAAGTAACCACAAAATCTCTAGTGTCATTTTTCTTTTACTCTGTTGTCAACTCAATTTTCTTTTACTATATTTGCAGTAAAGATATAGCCTATTTTCATAGGCCAAAAGCTTTATGGTATCCTGATGAAAATGTGGTGGCACTTAAAGAACAAGGAAAGCTGCTTACAAAATGGTCAATGAAAATTGTATTGAAAAGCTTGGGAGGGAAAGGGAGCAAGCTTCATGTAGATGCTGAGGAGACTGTTTTATCTCTCAAAGGAAAAGCTACCAAGAAGCTTGGCTGGTCTTCTTTTTTGGGCTAATAATAATATTACCACAGTTTCTGTTGAAGTTAATTTTTTTTTTTACAAAATTCTCCTTTCTTTTTTGTAGATTTTAAACCAAGTAAACCTGTGAAAATTATATACTCTGGAAAGGAGCTTGAAGATGAAAAATCTCTTGCTGAACAAGATGTTAGACCAAATTCTTTGCTGCATGTTGTTAGTACAAGAATACATTTATTACCAAGGGGTCAAAAACTGTTAGGAATTGAGACAGGGTACACGCAGCGGAAACACTATCACACACTCACAAACGAAACGAGAAAATAAAACAATAAAGAACACAAGGATTTTACGTGGTTCGGATTCGGTGTAAATCCTACGTCCACCGGCTGCAACTAGAGAATTTTATTAAAACTCACAAGATTACAATTTGCTTGACACTCTACACTTGATGTTCTCTCAAGTTTTTGCACACAAAATATGCAAAACATACATGCATATATATAGGTATATTTGTGAGCCGCAATATTCACAAGATTGCCGCATAGTTTGAAAAAATAATTCTCATGCATGTGTTTGACAATTTTTTCCACCGTCCAATTATTTGCCGTCCAAAACTTTGACAGTCCAACAAATGAATTCAAAAGGTGTGCTCCATAATTGCATCGTCCATTTCATATTCAATTGTTTAATATTTCCAAGTTTCATTTATGGTCCTTGAACTTTTAGGAACTTATCAATTTGTTCAAGACTCCATAAATCTTAACAATCTCCCACTTGGAGACTTGAACAAATTAGTCTTTCTCCGCCATTCAACTCTCAATTACTCCAGTAATCTTAAAAAACAACCAAGTCCTTCAAGCTTCCAGTTTCAAAGAACAAGCTAAAACTTAGTCTGATTTCTCTAATTGCAGCCGCCCCTCATCTTCAAGTACTAGAAGGGCCAGTTGAAGCTCCCACTAGATCCAACTCAGTCGTGGCTAATCCCACCACCGACTCATCCTCTGTCTCAACCGGTTTGGACACTCCACCAGATCCAGAGATACACCGAGGACCACTAACACTCTCCAAACTTTGCAAACTTCCAACAAGAGAGAATTTTCCAGTCTTAGTCTTCAAAACCCAACGGCTCTTTGTAACTGTACCCGGGACACACCCCGTGCTCCCACTGTCACAGAATCCCCTGAATGGTTTAGAATTTCCGACTCGTTCAGCTAACATCCCATTGGCTCCAGAATTCATGTTTGCAAAATGAACTCTCTTAGCAGTAGATTTAGCGAACCAGATTTTGTTTTGCTTAATCGGGATGGTCATACTTCCCTCAGCAGGTACCTCAACCATATACAATGACCCACGCTTCAAACCTTGAGCAATCACCGAATTACCATTGACCACCATCCATTTACCACCACCAAACCTTACTTCCAGTCCTTGTTTATCCAGCTGACCAACAGAAATCAATTTTTTTCTTCAGCTCCGGAATAACCCTGACATTCTTCAGGCTCCATGTAGTTCCTAATGAAGTAACTAGATCAATATCTCCCATGCCCGTTACTTGAAGCATCTCGTCATTTGCCAATCGTACCTTCCCAAAATCTCCTTCTTTTAGATTCACCATCGTTTCCCCGTTGCCCATGGCGTGAAACGAAGCCCCTGAATCCATGACCCAAGAGTCCACATAACTTTCCATACTGAGTAACAATGCATCATCCCCAGAAAAATTCTCAGCATCAGCAATGTTCAATTCTTTCTTTGGACATTGACTCTTAACATGTCACACTTCTTGACAGTTCCAACATTTCACATTCTTCAAAGTTCTAGAAGAACTTTTTCCCCGACTCCCACTGCTCCCACTATTCCTGTTATTCCCTCTACCTCTTCCGACATTTAATAAATCAAAAGAGGAAGATCCACCTTGATTCTTGCGTATGATATCCTCGCCTAGAACCAAATCTCTAACCCCTCAAAAGTCATACCACTGGTCCCCACGGAACTTGTAACAGCAGTAACTGTTCCGGACCAACTATCAGGTAGAGAAGCTAGTAGCAGCGAAGCTTGAGTCTCATTATCAAATTTAATTCCCACAGATGATAATCTGGACAGAATTGAATTTAGATTGTTAATGTGAACCGTAACTGAGCCTTCCTCATTCATCCTTGTAGTGAACATCTCCTTCATCAAGAACACCTTGTTAGCCGCCGATGGTTTCTCATACATATTTGACAGAGCCTCCATCATACCACGCGCCGTGGTTTCATTCATGATGTTGAAAGCAACGCTCTTCGTCAACGATAATGTAATAACCGCCTTGGCTTTCTTGTCCTTTGAGTTCCACGCATCTTCAGCAGCTTTTTCCATTTTCTCCGGTTTGTCTCCGAGTACCACGTCCAAGTCTTTCTGACATAGCAATGCTTCTAATTGCATTTTCCACCAGCTAAAATCAGAACCATTGAACCTTTCGATTATAACCTTGTCTTCAGCCATTACGACAAACAAAAAAAAATAGGTACACTCGTGTGTGACAGAAAAAAAGAATGTACCCTCCAAAACCTCGCTAACCAGGCTCTGATACCAATTGTTAGGAATTGAGACAGGGTACACGCAGCGGAAACATTATCACACACTCACAAACGAAACGAGAAAATAAAGCAATAAAGAACACAAGAATTTTACGTGGTTCGGATTCGGTGTAAATCCTACGTCTACCGGCTGCAACTAGAGAATTTTATTAAAACTCACAAGATTACAATTGGCTTGACACTCTACACTTGATGTTCTCTCAAGTTTTTGCACACAAAATATGCAAAATGTACATGCATATATATAGGTATATTTGTGAGCCGCAATATGCACAAGATTGCCGCATAGTTTGAAAAAATAATTCTCATGCATGTGTTTGACAATTTTTTCCACCGTCCAATTATTTGCCGTCCAAAACTTTGACAGTCCAACAAATGAATTCAAAAGGTGTGCTCCATAATTGCATCGTCCATTTCATATTCAATTGTTTAATATTTCCAAGTTTCATTTATGGCCCTTGAACTTTTAGGAACTTGTCAATTTGTTCAAGACTCCATAAATCTTAACAAAAACTTCCTAGTGACAACAAGTCCTTACGCCCTCCTGGATCTTTTAAAAAGAAATCAGATCTTTCAGCTAGAGATGGTCATTCTTTTTCTAATGGAGTAAGTATTCTTCCAAGATCATTCATTATTTTTAGTTTCAGACATTTCTAATGTTTGTTTTCTTTTTTTTATATCAGGTATTGTGAGGAAAGGCCTTTACTCCTTGGAAACCCTGGAATGGGTGCTCGTTTGTGCACTTATTACCAAAAATCAAGTCCCGGTGATCAAACAGCCACCCAATTGCGTAGTGGGCCCAACAATTTTAGGAACATTCTTACACTCGATCTAGCTGATAAATCCCCTTTTTTAGGAGATATAAAGCCTGGTTCAACTCAATCATGTCTTGAAACAAATATGTACAGAGCTCCAATTTATTCACATAAACTCTCATCCACTGACTATTTACTCATTCGCTCTCGAAAGGGAAAGCTCTCGTTAAGACGCATTGACCGGATTTACGTTGTTGGTCAACAAGTTTGACCTATATCTTTCCTTTGTTTGTTTGTTTTTTCCATCTTTATTTTTATTTATTTATTTAAAATGTGTAATGTAAATAGGAGCCTCACATGGAGGTGATGTCCCATGTATCAAAAGGTGTTCAGATGTATAATATGAATAGGCTTCTGGTGTTTATGTATCATGAGTTTCGCGCTCTTCAAAAACGTGGCTTGACACCTGCCATTCGTGACAAAGAGTTATCTGCACAGTTTGCAAATGTAGCTGAAGTTTCTTTAAGGAAGAGGTTGAAGTTATTATGTGATTTTCAGGTGAAATTTTACTCTTTACTTTACTTTTTTATTACCCATAATAGCAGAATGCTCATGGATGGTACCAACTAATAACTTCGTTATGTTTTATATTTTTATTTTAAAAATCTCCATTTTTAATTATTTATTTATGATTTATGATTCAGGAAATGATGAGGCAGATCGGAAGAAGAAAAAAAGTGAAAGATACGGGAGCAACTCCTATGTCAAATCATAATTTCAAAAATAAGGAGAGGTTGAAGGGACCACACACCTATGAAAACTATGTCTGCTGTTACACGACTTGATGGATCCTTTTCTATAAATGATAATGTTGTGAAGTCATTAAAAGATGTACGTCTGTAACTCTGTATTCATCATGTGGGACCTGTGTTATGTAATATTTATATTATATAGTTTTAGTGATTGATGTTCATGTGGTGGGGTGGCAGGATGAAATGTTTCCTTACAGAAAGAACTTTTCTGGAAAGATGAAGCCCAAAAGATCTTGAACAAGTTGGTGGTTTGCTAAATAAGAAGCTTAGAATTTTGAATGATGGAATGAATATTATGAAGGTTAGTAAGTTAGTTGCTTTTTTCTCTTTATTGACACAAAAAACAAGATGAAGTTTTAACATAATTTTGTTCAATAAGTTGTTGCTTGATCAATCCTAATGTAGGTTGGAAATACAAAGAAAAATGCAAGAGAGAGTTTTGCATATGGAGCTTGTGGTCAGGTATGTTCTACAAATGTTATGCCTTTTTCCTTTTTAACATAAATTACAAAGGTCAAGTATGGTCTACATATGTTGTGATGTGATGATTTTATGGTTTGATTCATCAGTTTGGTCACATGAAAACCAACAAACACTGCCCCAAGTACAGAGAAAATTCCAACATCAAAACACTTTTTAAAAAAAAATAAAAAAGTATATAAATTTGACAGTGTGTGTTGCTTGATACAGTACCCAATTCCTTCAGCAAGCCAAAGAAGAAAGATCGGTTACTCCAGTTACTCTAGAGACTCAGATCAGATGTGTCACCAAGAACCTCGTGTTCTTTTGTCTGACTACCCATGTGTCCCATTGGAGGAAGCTCAAAGTTCTTTACTTCTCTTACACTGTAATAATCCATCCTCACACTTATTTTGTAGTTATATGTTTTTTTT